TATTTCACTTAGACCAGGAAGACACTATTAAACGCCTAAACAAAATGTTGGTATGTTACAAAATATCCGTCTTTTGATCAGTCCTCTAGTGAAGGTATTTATATGACTAATTTATATACATCAACTGTAAAAGCATCGGCGAAACGAATTAAACATCTGCCCGACATAAATCTTACAACGAAGTTGTATTAATTTAAGAAACTATGATTAATAAAAAAAACCGACTTCAATGACCTCTTTTGTGCAAGTCGGTCAATAAATATAAGTGCTAATACCTTCTCCTAAATGTAACAAAACCTTTTCTGAAAACCGCATCAAAATCGGTTCAGCCAATTGCGGGATAATCGCGAACATAAGTACAGAGTTTTGAAAAACTGTTTTTTTAGTTAACGACACTCATTTTATTTTCATTTATTACATGTTAAAATGAATATAGCAGGTAACTACAAGACGTAATAAATTATTTGTCTCATAAATTAATGAAAGAACTGACATACAATGAGTTAAATAATATAAAAAATCAAACACAAAAAGTGAGTGCGCTCATTTCACATCTAGTTTGTGTAACTCGATGACATACAAAAGAACTTTTACCGATTGTTTGATAATAGCCAAGTCAAAACGTCGCACGCGCATGCCGTGTCATGATTTCCCACTTAACAATACTTTGTAGTACGTAGACTTCATATCTATAATAGCTTGTTATTAAAGAGTCAGCAGAAATTGAAATTTAAAAGCCATTTTTTTATTTTCTCTCGGTTCGATTCCCAAGTCGGGCAAAGTATTACGGGGTTTTTTAAGAAAACTAAGTACTACTAAGTACGGAGTCTGGAATTGTAGAGTAACATCCACTTTTCACTATTTATGTTATGGGTCCCATGTAATAGGCCATAATAGGCGGTGAGCCTATTGCCATATACCGGGCACAATTCCAGACACCGTGCTACTACTGAGAATTTTTTTAAAACCCAGTCGTACTTTGCCCGACCTGGGATTCGAACCCGAGGCCGCTTGCCCGGCAGTCGCACTTGCGACCACTCGGCCAACGAGGCAGTCATATTATAAATTGACATCTTTGTTTTTTTGTTTTTACTTTATACATTGAAAGTACTCCTTATGACAAATAGTTTTGCCGCGGGACGAAAACGAAATGAATTTATAACAAATTTTTCACCACTTACGTTGTGAGTCCCATGTAATAGGGACTCACTTATCGCCATATAACATCACATTATCACATAACATCACGCTTTATTTCCTAAGTAGTATATTATGTATATCTATATAACAGATGAGTAAAAATTCATTCAGGAACTATATCCGTAATATAGTTATGTATTGACTGAATAAATAGCAATCATTGAATGATTAGTTAACACGCTATATATGCGTATATATGTATGTAATTAACTTATTACGTTAAATTATTACTTAAGAAACTTTCTTTACATTGTAATGTGGCGCGAGTTTTCACTAAAGGGGTAGGCAGGGGTGTTAATATTAAACCTTTCTCACTTTTTACAGAATTTAGATCACAATTTTAAGCTTTTATAGCTGATTTTTACAAATAATATAAGAATTTCGATGGATTGTGGTTTTCAAATGTCTTATTTCATAATTACAGTATTGGGTAAAAATATACCGTCTATTTGAAGGGCATGCAATCTCATCTTATTATTATGCAAAACTGAAGAGTTTGTTTGTCTGCCTGTTTGTTTGTTTGAACGCGCTAATCTCCTGAACTACTGGTCCGATTTGAATAATTCTTTTTCTGTTAGACAGTGCATATTTCAAGGAAGGCTATATGCTATAAAACATCACGCTATGTGTAATAGGATCCGAGCAGAGGGGATGAAACCGCGATCAAGTTTCGATGGAAAAGGTTCTCAAAATTTCATATATCCATAAAAATTTGAAACCAGCTGAAACCAATATGATATTGGCTACTGCGTAATGCAATAGGAAACGTGAACTTCAGTCACACCTTCTAGCAATAAAAAAAGTCATCATACTATTATGCAATTAACAAACAATTAAAAAAAAACGTCAATAAAATCAAAGACTTAAATGCTGTGAATTACTGTGAATACCTAACTTTGCATGTGTACTGTGTATTTCGCATGATAACACACAGTTACTGTGTATTGTCCACAGTAGCGTGTGTTGACAACACGCACATAGTGTGCTGTTAAAATGATGTTGTAATTAATATAAAAACTACTGCGTTGCTTAAAAACTTTAGTGAGATATACCAAATTAATTTAAATTGTATTCTTACCGTTAAGGGTCCCGTTGTGACTGAGAATAGTAGAGCTTCTCTCAATTGATTTACGTTAGTTATGTCCAAATACTTAAACGCCACTCTTAAGTCGCGCTTACGTATAGTTCTGTCTCTACAAATTCTTTGTAAAAGGACAGGCATGGCCCGATATTTAAGTACGAATATGGTAAACGCCTAGTTTTTATTGTAATGTCCGTCTGGTAGATTATTTTAAAACATTACACACGTATTTTTTATTTTCTTACAGAAACGAATACTTTCGACGAAATATCGATTTGAAATGTCACGTGACGTCACTTCTATGTACATTTCATACGTAGAAATGACGTTTTAGCCCCCACTCCTAAACTTTGATTCGTTTTACCTAAGTATTGTTTTATTATACGACAAAATAAAAAAATACGTGTCTAATATTTTTTCATTAGAAGATTTGAAGATTATAAATTTGAGGATTATTGGGTATTCGGGGATTGGGGAGATTGTGGAGTGGTTTAATTGGGTCTCCGGCAATATCACTCACACGACGAAACACAACGCAAGCGTTGTTTCACGTCGGCCCATTCTTAATCCCACACTTAATCGTAATAACTTAAATCAATACCTAAAAAATACTTAACTTAGATCTAACATAGAACTCCATTCTACGTTACGTGCAAATATTATTGAAGGAATGCTTGTGAAGCATAGTGACAAAAACATCTATGCACTAAACAGGCAGGTGTCAGCACTAGTATATAAAAAAATAAGTTACATAATATTACTTTCCAAAATCTTTAGACATTAGCGGACATCCTTTCATAATATATATGAATTGTTTGTATGACAGTACATATATATGTATAGTTTCACTCGAATTGTATGGGATTTGAATGGGAATATTTCTCATGTCTCCGTTCATACAGAATTAAGTTTACTGAAATAAGTTAGAAGTTTTGCTTTGTGTTTGACGCCCAAGTTACAAAAATTAAGTTCATTACTTAAGGTGAGAACCTAACGGTCGCGGAGAACCTAACGGGTAACCGGGGCTCCGGCTCGACGAGCAAGAGAAGGAACGGGGTGGTTTTTAGTCAGTTAGAGTCTGACACTCCCTCCCGCCTCACCCAGGCGGGAGCAGTCATTCGATGATATTCCCCCGTTAAAAAAAGGTAGTCTGAACTTGTATGATGATGATAGTATTAGATCGCTTTACAACACTGACATCAAAATCAAACACTGTAATCTTTACAATAAAAAATGACACGATTTCAGAAGTTAATTCACTTACATGAGTACCGTCATTATAGATACAATTAAAGAAAAATAGGTTGCAGTCACCAGTGTCCTAGCGGTGTTTGACAGTTTAATCTTATGATCAAAAACAAACAGCACTCAATTTTAAAGCTCTCTATTACTGAATCCAAATGCTTTTTCTTTTTAAAAAAAACGTTGCCCACACTAGGATTTTCTCCTGTGTCGTAGGTACGTTTACAAACATACAAGTTCACATACACATCACATCAGGAACAACAATCAGTAGATCACACAAAGAGTTGCTGCGTGCGGGAATCAAACCCACGACACGTTGTAAGGCAGCCAATTGCCCAGCCACTGCGCCAACCGTGCCATCAAGTACAAATTTTATGTGACTAATGATATTTCAGTATTTGGGTGTATATAGGATATTTAAACTTTAAACGACTGGCCTTTCAAAATAGTTCACGCAAAGTCTCATCAAATGCAAATTGTAGCAAAAACTTCAAATATAGAAAAACCAAATTAAACTCTATATAATCTGTGAAATGGCTTACACTATCAGAGGTATAGATAGTGTAGAATGTAAAGATGTATGTACTATGGAAAGAACGTAACGTTCCACAAACTAACTGACAGATAATTTTGCCGTGGTTATTGTCATGGATATAAAAAAATGAGTAAATACTCGAGTACCTAAAGACGAACGTTTACTCAATATTTATCCACATAAATGCCCATCTCTATTTATTTTCACGAAAGTGCCTGTAAATAGTGAATTGTGAGTGTGTAATGCCCTTTTATATTGTCCTATTCACTCATTTATATCACTGTTCTACTCATCTAAAACGCGATCTTATATTTTATGGCGTAAAATATGTAAGTAACATTACAATCTCCCAGAACAGTGTTTATCATAAATTCAATTGACTTTGTTAAAAATCAATACGTTATTTCAACCATCATCAATTACTAAAGAAAATATGAAAAACTTAAAGACAAAAAATTACTCTACTATCTTCTCGGATCTATCTCAAGCGTTTGCAACACTGAGGAATTCCGTTGAGTGAAAAATCGTTGAAAGATCATCGAGTAATCTCAGTTAATATTCCAACTATATATTTTCAGTAAATTATAGTCCATCGTCATTAATTCATCAGACTTGTTAATAGACGCCTACGTATCAAATTATGATCGAAATATTTCATAGATCGTCTATTGATGAATAAATATGACTAAACCCGTAGAATATGTAAATAACGCAAACTGTTTGAACACTTTCCTTTTTATAATAACTCATAACAAATGAAAAATAATCTTCAAACACCAAAAAAGATTTCTCTAAAGCGTTTGATACAATTAGTCACAGGAAATTATTTGTCTGTAGATTAATGTTTATATACTCCCGAAACCAATTCCCTACAGTTGTCATAGTAATTCTCTTCCACACACATATTTAGAACAAAAAAATCCAATATGGCCGACTCACCTCGTTCAGCAAATCCATCTCCCGAACCAGTCCCAATGTCCTGCAACGCCTGCTCATCACCAACGTCATTCAAACCGAAATTTTGTTCACGAAACACAACATTATCATTGAACCCACCAGGCCCCGCGTGGGAATTCGTCTGCACTGAGTTTACACTTTCTGACGCGTATGGAAACACCACTCGAGGACTCCTCGGCTTCCAACCAGGGTAGTAGCCGTTCCGAACCGACGGAGCGAACGGAGCCACAGGGTATGGGTCAAACCCAAAATTTGGAGCGTAAGTCCGACCAAAACGACCCTGATAGTAATGAGGATGGTTCGAAAACGGCCTAAATCGAGGCAATGGCTCGTAAAACCGCTCATTACCGGACGGCAAATCCTCATTCAACTTCTTTGGCACTTCAGGATCTTCAGGAGATGTGAACTCATAATCTGGTTGATCGTCAAACTTGATTTTTGAGTAACTTTTATCTTGAGTCAAATCAATTTCACCCTTTCCGAATGGCTGATGGTTTTCATCTTCATCGAGGAACAGCACTCTGGATTGCCTCGCTCTCGTCCTCCGGTACAGGTTCTTCGGCACAAACATGACGTTTTTGTACGGTTTCTGGTAGACTAGGCTGAGCGCCCGGCTCGGCTCGACAGCGCCAACGGACGCCACCAGTAACAGAATAACTTTCCATCTATTTTCGCTAAACATGTTGCATCGGTCAGTGCACTGCGATTTTCACTTTCATTTCTTTTGTTACGAAGGGTAAATTTTGTTTGATTGTTTTTGTTAGGTTTTAGTACATGATTTGTGCGCGTGTTGTTTTTTTTTAAATTTGTTGTTTTGAGTCGAGTTTCATTTCTGTCGTGCGCGGGGCGTGTGGCGCGGGCGGCGTGTAGCACGGGACTGGCTCGGCCGAGCCGCGGCTGTAGCGTGCGCCACTCGTTATATAAAAATGCATGCTTGTGACGTTTCGTTTATGTAATGCCAGTGATTAGTGATAGTACGTTGCTTGGTAACTCTGTTTTGGATACCTGAAAGTGCTACTTTCAGATTTGGTGGTATTGTTTGGTAGGTTTTTGGATTTTAAGAATCATTTTTAATATATTTTCTTTTAGAATTCGTACTTGTTTTATAAGGCTTGGTACACTTTTTGTCAGTGATGTAATAGGTTCCATTTAATGAGGTCACAGATGTAACAGCTGTGCGCGATGTCCGGGATTCTTATTGGTTATTTTTGAGCGTGCATTATGGTTGAATGTTTCAATTATTGCATTCACATTCGATTTTGAGTTTACTCTTTGTTACAAAGGGTCTAAAAATTTCACGTCTGGTAAAAAGAAATATTATAATTATAATACATTGTACTTGAATGTTCTGTATATGTTTAATTGATGTAAATACTAGTCTGTATCTCTATTATTTTCTTACTATGAATGTTTATATTGTTGATATAATAAAACTATACACGTGATGAACAATAGTCAGTGACAGAATAACTATTGGACTGTGAGCCTTCGCCTATGCACATAAGAGGTTTTGCTCTATGCTTGCAAGGTGGATCTCGCAAGTAAAAAGGTTCAGGTTTACCAAACAATGCTGCCACGTAAACACAGTCTATACTGTCAGTCACCGTCTTCTTCCTTTCCATACATTAATGACTATATTTTTACACAGACTGCCTCGGTGGCCGAGTGGCCGCAAGTGCGACTGCTGGGCAAGGGGTCTCGGGTTCGATTTCCGGGCTTAGCATGGTATCACTGGGATTAAAAAAAATATCAGTAGTAGCGCGGAGTCTGGAATTGTGCCCGGTATATGGCAATAGTCTCACCCCCTATTACAAGGGACTCATAACATAAATAGTGAAAAGTGAGTGTTACATTATACAGTGGCATTAACAGTCGTAATGTGCTTCTCTGCCTACCTCTTCGGGGATAAAAGGTGTGATGATATATATGTATATATTGTTATATGTAATATGGTATTTTAAAATCCTTCGTTTATGACATACAGCTATATATCTGTGGCATATGTTTCTTAGCTTTCTATTCGACGCTCCGATGATGTCATCTGTGCTAAACTGTTCCGACTTCAAGTCATTATGTAAATTCGGCAAAATCGGAACTTGAAGTGATCTTTATAATATAGTTTTATTATATTTTACATATTAAAATATCATTGTTATGTTTCCTTTAGCTAGATAGAAATATTTTAGGTTTTCAGAGGGAAAATCATTGAATGACTGCTCCCGCCTGGGTGAGGCGGGAGGGAGTGTCAGACTCTTACTGACTAAAAACCACCCCGTTCCTTCTCCTGCACGTCGAGCCGGAGCCCCGGTTACCCGTTAGGTTCTCCGCAACAGAACCAAAGTGTAGAATGCACTGTCGCCTGCGGTAATTCTAAAATACTACAAAATTCAAATGTTCAAGAAAACCTTGAAGAATGCTGCTTACCATCTGGTAATCCTACTAACAGCAATTACCAATATGAAATTTTCCAAGTTATATGTACTTTCTAAGATTATTTAGACGCCACTGAAAAACGGTGAAGGAAAACATCGTCAGGAAACCTGGGCTTATGAATAATTTTAAATTCTAAGTTTGAAATCGCCAACCCCCAATGTGGAAGTTTGGTGATTTTTTTTTTATGACATAAACCGGTAAACTAGCAGACGGGTCACCTGATGGTAAGCAATCGGCGTCGCCCATGGATACCTGGAACACCAGAGGCGTTACAAGTGCGTTACTGGCATTATGGGGATTAGAAGTTTGAGGATCGTTGGGGATTCAGGGATTGGGGAGATTGGGGAAAAGGCCTACGGTAACCTCACTCACACGACGAAACACAACGCAAGCGTTGCTTCACGTCGGTTTACTGTAAGGCCGTGGTATCACTCCCGTCGAACCGGCCCATTCGTGCCGAAGCATGGCTCTCCCACACTTAAACCTTATCCGTGTGAGAAGAGGCTTTGCTCAGCAGTGGTTAATTTTAAGCTGTTGATGAAAGTAAAAGAATCTAAAAACCATTACACCACACCCTCACCACCAGTGGGACAGTTAAAACCTTTTCAAAAGTTAACCACGGCAGTGAAACCTCAACGAGTTAATAGTCAAACTGTGGGAAAAGTTCAAAGAAGCAGTTAACAGTAACTTCATGACGAATTGATGAGACGCTTGTTATTTTCAATCTCACTTTGGTTATTTATTTATTACTAGATTCTGCTCGCGCCTTGGTTCGCGTTCTTGGCTTAAAAAGTACCCCATGTGGTGTTCTAGACTATAGTCTATCTCTGTACCAAATTTCATTTAAATTGGACGGTTGGCGTGGTAGATGGGCATCTGGCTGCCGCGCAACGTGTCGCGGATTCGATTCCCACACGGAACAACTCTTTGTGTGATCTACAAATTGTTGTTCCGGGTCTGAGTGTCATGTGTATGTGAACTTGTATGTTTGTAAATGCACATACGACACAGGAGAAAATTCTAGTGTTGGGCAACGTTTTAAAAAAAAAGAATTTTCGTCAAATGTTGGGAATTCAGGGATTAGGGGGTAGTATAAACACAACGCAAGAGTTGTTTCACGTCGGTTTTCTGCTCGGCCGTGGTATCACTCCGGTTGACCCGGTATTAATAAGATTATCATCATCTTCTGCTTGTGACAGTCTACTGCTGTCGCGGGTAACTCACGTGAATATACTGAGTAAAGCTCTACTAGCTTCAAACCACAGAGGGGTTCTTCCTCATGAGCAGAGTGCGCGGTCGCATCGACGTCGCACAGCCTACTGGCTAGCGTTCTGGCGCTCGCTAGTAGACCTTATTTTTAGTTAAATTACTGGAATTATAATTTTTTTATACTTGATAGGTCGACGTTTGGCCTCCATCTCGCCTGGTGGTAAGCGATGATGTGGCCGACGATGGAGCACGCCTACCTAAGAGCAACCTGTTCACTCGGGACTTGAAGACACCCAAGTCATATTTGCCGGGAAACACAGATTCCGTTGCTGCTTCAGATTAGTCCACAGCTGAATAAAATCCTGTATCTTAAAAGATGATGCGTGTTCTTCGATCGCTTGCTGTCAAATGGGACTGGTCAGCTCCAGACTGTATTAAATTTGTTGTCCTCAAGGTTATTTTCTTTTCTGTCTCCTTGACCAAATATTGGTATTACATTGTTCTCACATTATTGAACTCAACGAAAGAATGTAACCAAAAATTGTATTGTGAACATGATTGAAAAAGAGTAACCTATGGAGTTTCTTGCTCGTTCTTCTCCATGGGAATCTACACTTTGGAACGAGCAAATAGCTTCACTAGAGGACTGACCTACAGGCTGACATTTTTTCTTTTTATTTAATATTATTTTTTTTGTTTTGATGTTCAAAAGTGTCTTCCTGTTCTAATTTAAATAAATGATTTTGACTTTTGACTTTTTCCTGGTCTCAGTTTCGGGATACCAGTATCGAATCAAAATAAAAAATTTAAAAAGAATTTGAGTATATCGTGGGCAGTAGAAAGGCTTGAAATTTAATCATCTTACGTTTATGATTGCTTTTATTACCCTTTTGGGATTAACTCATAATTTATTATTAGTTATTTATTTCATTTTATATCATCGGACAACACAAAAAGGTTTTTAATAAATTTTATTTTATTGTAGTTATGTTTTAGTTCCGTTGTCATGTCGTAAATGTAATCTGTTTATTATTGCATGCATAAATTATGAAGTACAGTCAAGGGTTGAAATATATCACCAAAAGTTTTTAACAATTGGCCTGTCTTTTATTATTGAAAACGGTTTGGACAAGCTGTCGACAGCCTCAAAAAGCCACTGCCATTCCTGTTTCTTTTTTATTTCATACGCCGCCGTAAACGAGCAGACGGATCACCTGATGGTAAGCAATCGGCATCGCCCTGAGACACCTGGAACAAAAGAGGCGTTATAAGTGCGATACCGACCTTTTGGGGATTAGGAATTTGAAGAATGTTGGAGATTCAGGGATTGGGGAAGGGGGGTAGTTGGACCTCCGGTAACCTCACTCACTCGACAAAACACAACGCAAGCGTTGCTTCACGTCGGTTTTCTGTGAGACTGTGAGCCGGTTACTCCAAAAAAAAATTTGTAGCAGCACGAACTCTGGAATTGTGCCCGGTATATGGCAATAGGCTCCCTATTACATGGGACTCATAACATAAATAGTGAAAAGTGGGTGTTATATTGTACAGTGGCATTAAGTGCCGTAATGTGCACCTCCGTCTACCCCTTCAGGGATAAAAGGTGTGATGTTATGATGTTATGAATAGATAATTAACTAATTTTTAGACACAGTCATATTTGAATACATTAATATTATATGTAGGTATAGATGTTGCAACAAACAGATGGCTCGACTCTAGTTTTCACTCCTAAAATGATCAACACGCAATAGGCAATGAGTTCACAAAGAAATCAACACAACACAAGCAAAATTTCGCGCACAATTCGAATTCATAAGAGCGAGAATGTTAGTACAGTCGATGTGAAAAATTGGTGGCCATAATTTTAATACAATGTTACCTTTTGTATTTTGAAAGATTAGGTCGAGTGGTTGGTGGTATTTTTTTTTTATTGATTGAGAGATAATCGTAGCTCATGTGTCTCTTTAGAAGAAAACGAACACTTCAGAAATGAAGTTTCACAGCCTGTAAAAAAGGACCCAGGTATTAAAATTAAGACCACACGTTTGGCAGATTTCTAATAATCCTTTTCATCAACAGCCTATAAATGCCCACTGCTGAGCAAAGCCTTCTCTCACACGGAGAAGGTTTGAGCATAGCATTATTAATACTGATCGCTGAATCGCGGTTGGCGATTTCAAACTTATAATTTTCCTTTACCGTTTGTCAGTGGTGTCTAGGTCTT